CAATTAAATGTCAAATTTAAGTTATTTTTACATGTCAAGTTATGCATCATTAAATTTAAATTATGTTTTAGTTTATTTTCCTGTGGCTACCCCTCTATGTAAGGCACACAAGATAACTTTAACCATATTTATGTTATTGAGATATTCAATATATTTTAAAAATTGATTCTTGTTCATATTGCCTCTTCTCCCAACAAAAATTATTAATATACTAATGCCTGTTTTGTGGATATTAGGGTTAAATTTACTAGTTAAAATTTTATTCATAATATCACTGAATGATGCTCCAGGCATGCAGAAATTACTTATCTGTTGCCTTTTTAAACAGTTATTCAATGATATACCCAAGTTTTTGCCTATGTCATCACTATACACAATTACATTATTTTTTTTTTCATTATATGAATTACTTTTAAAATTTATCTGCTTTGTTATGGTACTATCATAGAGTGTAGGTAAACAAAATGAAGTATTACTGCTTGTCATATTATTAACTCACACTGTCCCTAAAGAACCTGGCAGTGAGCGCTGATATTCATTTTGAATTTTAATAAGGAGTCAAAACGTTCCTCGTTATATTTGCATGACTTTACCAGATTATCCATGGCCAGTATGTGTTCTTTTATCTCATTCCCTGCAGATTTATATTTATTTGACATAATTTGTAATGAGGTTTGAAGTGATAAAAGAACAATGGCCAAATTTCTATAGGAGCTGAACTTCACTTTTATTTTTCATGTCCCAAAACAAACTATAGCTAGATTGGTTTGTATTTATGTTGTAAACACCATCCCGTTTAAAAATCATATCTAAATAGCCACAATTTTTTATAATAACGTCAAAAATACTTTTGAGGTTAGCTTCACATAATATGTAATCTTCTTCAGTGATCTAAAATAAAAATTAGATTTGTATTATGATGTACAATTGTGTGTGATGGTTTATTTTAGTGTAATAAAATAAGTAGGTATGTAAATATGTAAATATTATTGAAGAATTCCACTCGCGGATTTCAGAAATTACTCTGGTATCTAGCTCAAAAACGAGATGGCGGTGACAAGTGTATCAATACATATGTTACAATTAACACATAGCAGAGGCAAGGCTAGCTGTTGTCGTTGTTGTTTAGCTATAGTCTGCATGAAATCTCTCACAAATATGCAAGATGCAAAATTGGTGTCCAGAAATCAAAAGAACAGAATAATCGTTACAAGTGGTAGTTATCAGTTCGTAAAACAATGCCGAGGTCAAAACAACAGAAGGAAATCTAAAATAGTACAGTACGTATCGCAATCCACAACAACGAGAGAAACAAATAAGACATATAGATATGTAGATGATTGCCGGGTGACAATCAATGTCGAATCGACATTGTTCTGTAATAAATTATTTAAAATTTAAATAATTTCGTAACAGTTACAAAAAGAAAAATAAAAGGATAACTTTTTTTTGTGGCTACTTATAGATTACTTATAGAGTACTTATAGATAGATAGTATTTTTTGTGTTTTTTAAGACCTTAAAAAATAAGGATATTTTTCATAAATATGGCATATAGTGACGCCATCGTTTCATCGTCTGGTACGATTTGGCCAACCTTCTTTCTGAATTAAGACACTCTATTTCAGTCTCATAACAATTTTTCATGTTTTCCACCTCAATTGAATATAATTTAATTTTACTAATTAACTCTTGCTTTTCCTTACATACATTTGTATAATTTTTAATATTAATTTTAGTTTTAAGTAATTTTTGCACTTTCCTAATATATTCACTGATTTTTATATATTTTCTTAATTTCCTTCTGCTGCTTGTAATCCTTTCTGCTGTTCTTAATGTGGTAGAATCATCAGTCAAATCTATTGTTGTGGAGGGTTGCAACGTTTTATGAGATTTACATTCTACGAGATCCTCGAACAGACTCTGAGTTTTAAGTGCTTGCAAGTTATCAATGTATTGTTTAAATTGTGAAATTTCCTCATTAGCTTCAGTTAATTGTAATTTCAATGCAGCAATTAATCTGAGGGATTCCTCATATTCTTTGCTGCATCGGTCAAACTCATCAACTGTCCCCTGGAGCTGATCCCTTTCCTTTAAAATATCTGTATAGTCTCTATGTAACTTAACCATATCACTTTTCAACTGTGTATTTTTCGAAATTATACTTATTATTTCCTTTTCGTTGTCATCCCTTTCTTTAAATAACAGCTCACACTGCTCCCTGGACGCTCTCATTTCTTGGAGCGCAAGATGAAGTTGGTTCTCCATCTGGCGCGTTTTGGCGTTGCGAGTATTCATTTTACTATGTATTTTAAATAGTAAAAGAAAACAAAGATGGAAAATCAAGGGAACAGAGTAAGCAAATATCCAATTGTAGGACTCTAATTACAGATCTCAAATTAAATTATCAAGAAAACAATTCAAAATGAAATCCGAAAACAACAACACCTAAGAGATATATCGTAAATATTAAAAGGGATAACAAGAATTACAGTAACTTTTAAACGATGTTCGTTACCTGCTGTCACTTTAAGTTGAGAGGCACTAAAAATTTATTTATTTAAATATTTACCACTTTTATTTATTACACAATACAATTTGTGGCTTAGCTTTCTATTGACTCCCGTCGAGTTGGGGGTTGATACGTATTTTTACAGAATTATAAATGCAAACACATGGATTTATATTTACATTATAAATTCAAACATGAAAAAAATATAGATATTTTAGAAATCGATTTTTTGGGAATCGATACATTAGCTTACAATTCGAATCTATTTAAAAATCGATCTTTTTCGGAAAGAATTTACATCCCTACTGACAATAACAATAAAAAATGGCGTCAGTTTTATTGTAGGATTAGACGTAAACAATGCAAGAATAATTGATTTTCAATAACTTTTTTCTCAAAAATTACGCGCTTCCGCATGTTGTAACTTTGTGTGTGTGCTTATAATAGTGTAACTTTTCTGTAAAAATACGTATCAACCCCCATCTCGATGGGAGTCAATGGAAAGTCGTACCCAATTTGATCGTAATTAACAACTATAACTTAAATTTGAGGTGGAAATTATCAATTACAATATTTATTTTTACGAAATTATTTGGGAGCCCAATTATTTAACTATTTGTCACCGGGGTTGCCACAGCAAAAAATATCAAGAGATTGTGATAGCGTACTTCAGCAAGTCGTTGTCAAAGCCGGAAAGGAACTATTGTGTCACAAGACGGGAATTGCTTGCTGTGGTAAATGGTAAGATATTTGCTAAAATGCTGCAAGGACTTTTCCTTGCAGCATTTTAGCAAATACCTTCTGGTGCGGAAATTCCACTTACGAACTGACCATGCTGCACTGAAATGGCTATTGCAGTTCAAAATCCGGAAGGACAAGTAGCGAGATGGATTGAACTACTGCAGCAATAGGACTTTGTGATCGAACGTCGCAGCGGGAAATCTCATGGCAATGCAGATGCATTATCAATAAGACCTTGCCCTGAAGATTGCAAGCATTGTACTAGGCAAGAGGGTAAGTAAGTGGTATCTGTGAGGATTCTCAGGACAGACCAGCTTAGCAATGAGTGGAAGGACAGTCTACAACATGCACAACAGGAAGATTTGGACATTAAGCCGATTCTGTAATGGATGAAGGCACAGAAATCGTAATAATAAGACACTAGAAGTCGCATCGACGCGTGACCTTGTCGCCGCTATGATGTGTTGACGGACATCATTTACACATTTTGTGATTTAGTTGCGCGGAACGTCGGACGTGAATTTATGTTATTATAATGGTGAACTGCAGCATAAACGGTTGTAAAAACTCATCAAGGACGTGTAATTCAACTAATAAAGGCATAACATTTCATCGGAAAGTTGATTATTTACTAATTATCATTGTTATAATTAATTTACATCTAGATGAATACTTTACTATGATATTTACATTTGTAAACTTTCGTTTATAGTTTTCGTATTGTACATTACCATTGCTGCTTTTGTTCTATCGTAATACGCAACGTACGCGACGTTGACAAAATCGCCAAGCAATGTAGTGTGAACATTAGATATCATTGTGAATTGCGTATGCTTATAATACGGCTGCAGGCATCGGTCGCACGTTAGTGGTGTAACCGTGTTATTAATTTGAATGAAAGCACGGGTTATATCGATGTTTGTATAAAGGGATATTTTTAGATTCTCGAACGTAAAAACTAAACAACATTTGAACGTAAAATATTCTTAATAATAATTATACAGTAATTTCATTAATTAAATTATTTGTTAAAATTTAATTATTTGTTTAAGTTTGCGTCTATAAATGTTTAGCATGCTGATAAATGTACAGAAAATGTTGTTTTTTTAGGAAGTATAAATAATTATATTTACTAGAACATAATTATCAATTATTTCTAGATTCCCGAAAGATCCTGATATTAAAGAAAAATGGATAAATCTTACTGGTAGACAGGACTGGTTCCCTACAGAAAATAGTCGAATTTGTAATTTTGTGTGTATTAATATCACTCTAACTTAATTATTTCTTAAGTGTACCTACGCTATAACCTCGATTAATTATGTATTCTGACTGTTAATAGATAGCTCGATTTTAAATAGTAAGTATCATAACTGTTAAATATTAAGAAATTGGTATATATCTATGGTTTTCTTTGCTACTTGTAATCCATTTTAATATATAAAAACAATATCGACACCTTCAAAAATTTTTGTTAATCCCTAGCATTGTTTACAGGGACCCTCACACATCGAAAGTGCTTGCAGTGGTGTAACATTATGTATTGGAGTAAAATGCAGTGTAATCGCTAAAAATTAAGGTTCATAATAGATAGTGCCCTATACACTTCATCGGTGTATTGCAAGTGTGTGCGAGTGTTATATCTATTTGTTTGCTTAATGCGTATGTGTTAAGATGTGGCGACATCGGTTTTGGAAGTAATCGGGCGCTAATTCATTTCTAGTGTCTTATTATTACGATTTCTGTGGATGAAGGCCAGTGCTCCCAAGCCCAAGTGGAGCGACGTCTCAGCAATGAGTTCGACCACGAAAAGCTATTGGGCCCAATGGGACAGCTTGCTGATTCAGGATGGAGTCCTGTGCAGTAAACGGGAAAATGATCGGGGAGACAGATGTCATTTGCAAATGGTTGTCCCTAAGGCTAAAGTACCGGATGTTCTACAGCTGTACCATAGTGGTTCTTCAGGAGGCCACCTGGGAGTTAAACGAACTCTACTGAAGATCCGAGAATGGTTTTACTGGGTCCACTGTCGTGACGATATCAAGGACTGGTGCCGCAAATGTACAAGTTGTGCGGCTGTAAAGGGACCTCAAATTCGTAGTAGAGGCGCATTGAAATTGTACAATGTTGGTACACCATGGGAGAGGATAGCCATTGACGTTGCGGGGCCGTTTCCGGAAAGTGAAAGTGGTAAATGTTTCATGGTTGTGATGGATTACTTCACTAAGTGGCCAGAAGTCTTCGCCATTCCAAATCAAGAAGCTTCAACAGTTGCAGATAAACTAGTTCATGAAGTCTTCTGTCATTTTGGAGTACCCTTAGAGATTCACAGCGATCAAGGAAGGAATTTTGAGTCTCAAATATTCCAGGAAACTTGCTGAGTTATGGGTACTCGAACAACTTCTTACCACCCACAATCTGATGGAATGGTAGAACGATTTAATCAGACATTGGAGAGGTACCTAGCAACAGTTGTGGAAAAACGGCAACGAGACGGGGACAGGCACATACAACCGTTTTTGTTGTCATATCGAAGCGCTGTTCACGAAAGTACATCAGTGACACCAGCTTTCGCAAACTTTGGGAGAGAATTACGGCTGCCTGCAGACCTGATCACCGGAATACCACCTGATGCCCCATGCATTATAACCAATTATGCAAATGACTTGCGGAACAAAATGAATGACATTTATGAGCACGTCAGACAGATGGGCCAGCAAACGTCTGATAATTTGAAGACACGGTATGACCGCAGAATGAACAACAAAGGGTTTGACGAAGGTTCACTAGTGTGGTTACACAATCCAGTTCGCAACAAAGGGAAATCTCCTAAGTTTCAAGCTAAATGGGATGGACCATACCGGATTGTGACGAGCATGTCTAAGGAGGGTGCAGTGTTGCGTGCCACTATTAATGTCTTGTATATGGCAACACTAGTTCCCACTAGCGCCCTCTAGTGTCGAGTAGCAGAACTAGGAGAGTCAAGATCCTTCTAGAAATTTCGGGACCGATATGTACTTGAACATTCTAGATGTCGCTACAGTAGAAGATTCTGGTAACTATCTGAGGCCCTATATAAGGCCGGTATAGACCAGGGCCGAGGCAGTATTGAATTGGCGATACAAGAGAATACTTCGAAGCAAAACAACTGCGAACTTATGTGATCAGTAGTACAATTGTGTTTTATTATTAGTGTGGTTTTAGATTATAATTAGTGTTGTGTAATTAAAGTGTCAATTGTGGTAATTCAATCGGCAGATTTTAATTGTCTCGAACCCCAAGCTCGTAACAATATTATGATAAATATTGTAAGTGTATATATACAACATCTAACGCAATTAACGCACATCCTCAGACACCCCAATTAGTATATTATGTTATAATCATAATACATACACTGACTTCTTAGTTAAACATGTTTATGCATTGATTATTTATTAAATTATTTATAGTAATTGAGGAAGAATTTTGTGGTCACCGTACAAATTCACGAACACTAGGTATAGGTCATATGAGGGCCTTTCTAGCCTAGTAGGTATTCGCTCGCGTCCGAGCCGAGTTAACGCCGCCGCCGCTTGACACAAGTGTAGGTAGGTATTAGTGCCGAAAAATGTCAGAACTCCGAGCATCCAGTTGTTTATTTAAGTCTAGTAAACATTTGATTGCATCTTTCCATCACACTATTCAGGCTTTGGACATTCGACTCTGAATAATTTTTATTTATTGATTATGATACAATGTCAATAGGCCATATTCGTTACAAAATGTTATGCATTAGCATAACATTTTAATTGTAATTTTAAATAATAATGAACTACTAAAAATAAGAGGCGATACGACAGCATAATTCAAAGACGGCGTGTTTAAACGAAGTGAATTAAGATTACAATAATTTTAAGAATCAAATATTTAACTTACTGATAGCCTAAACTCTCATGCAACGTTGTATTTTAATACACTTTCAAAATGTCCACCATCTTGTTCAATACATTTAAAATGACCGTTTTCTTAAATGATATTTTAATTTAGAAAGCAATTCAGTGTTATTTATGTCTCCACAAAAAAGAGTCAAGAGACGTCAAATCAGCTGATCTGGGAGGTCAATGGCCGCCACGTCTGATCCAAGGCACTTCAAACTCTGTAATTGTAAAGACTTTAACATGCTTGAAATAAGGTTTGTAAGGTTTTGTTTTGAATGACGGAATTTGTATAAATACAAATAAAACTGCACTTTTAAAAGTCTTATTGCCTTGAGTTAAGGTCCATTTCAGTTTGTTTTGACTGTACGGACTTAGTGTGACTGTAATTTACGTAGTTTTAATTATTTTTGGAATAAAAAAATACCTATATTAAAAATAATAGAAATCGATTCAGTAAACGATTCTGAACAAACTGCTTTCAGGATGTACGTTAATTATGTTACGTGTTGTATGTATATATATGTATATATATATATATATATATATATATATATATATATATATATATATATATATATATATATACATATACCGTGTAGTGGCGGTCAAGAATATCCACTACCCCATATCCTCCCGTGGGTGTCGTAAAAGGCGACAAAGGGAAACAGGCAGGAGATGGGCAGCAGTATCTTCCTGATAATAGCCAAAATTACAATAAAAAAACTGCGGTTGCCAACCCGCTCGCCAAGCGTGGCAACTATGGCAAATACCCCCCTATGAATGTAACAAAGAGACGGCCCCCAGTCCCCGGCGGCCCCGCTATTCCTGGCTACGGTGGCGACCATGGTAACGGCAGGGCAGGGGGTGCTAAGAATCTCCGGTGGAGGTTCGACGTTCGGTACCTTAGACGACTCGACCTGGCAACGTACAACGCACGCACCCTGAGGACTGACGAGAAGATCGTGGAGCTGGAAGAAGAGATAGACAAGTTGCGCTGGCATATTATAGGATTATCCGAAGTCCGAAGAGAGGGGGAGGACACGGTAATCCTCGAATCCGGCAACTTGCTCTATCACCGGGAGGGCGACCATCTGTCCCAAGGAGGTGTCGGATTTATCGTCCACAAGTCTCTCGTTAACAACGTTGTAAAGATCGGGAGTGTGTCGACGAGGGTTGCGTACCTAATACTCAGAATCACCAAACGGTATTCGCTGAAGGTCATACAGGTTTACGCACCAACCTCGGCACACCCCGATGAGGAGGTGGAGGAAATATATGAGGATATCTCTAGAGCCATGCATTCCTCCAAAACCTAATATACGGTGTTAATGGGAGACTTCAATGCAAAACTAAGCACAAGAGAGAACGGTGAGCTGAAAGTAGGGAAATTTGGAATAGGGCAACGGAACCCAAGGGGCCAGCAGCTGGCCGACTTCATGGAGAAAGAGGGACTCTTTATGATGAACTCTTTCTTCCAGAAGCGGCCCCACAGGAAGTGGACCTGGTCTAGCCCCGACGGTTCGACAAAAAATGAGATTGACTTCATTATGACGACCAGACGACAACTGTTCAGTGATGTCTCCGTGATCGCGAGGGTGAAAACTGGTAGCGATCACCGAATGGTTAGAGGCACACTGAACCTAAACCTTAAGTTGGAGAGGTCTCGTCTAATGAAGTCAACGCTCCGTCCCCCTCGTGCTCTGTTCCAAAGTCCCGAAACCTTTCAGCTCGAGTTACAAAACCGTTTTCAGTGCCTAGAAGACTGCAATGAAGTGGACGATATGAATGACAAGCTCGTGGAAACTGTCCATGCGGTCGGAGCTAAGTTCTGCAAGACCCGCCGCAGAAGAACACAAAAACTCTCCGATCACACTCTTAATCTCATGGCTGTTAGACGGGAGATGAAGCTACATTCTTCAACAGACTTGACAGCATACAGGCATCTGAACAGACAGATCTCCAAATGCATGCGGCGGGACTTACGCAACTTCAATACAGCTCGTATTGAAGAAGCGATCGAGCGGAACCAAGGCTCCAAAGTCTTTGCCAGAGATCTGTCTGCCAGAAAGAGCCAACTGTCAAAGCTGAAGACAGAATGTGGCAGCATCGTTTCCGGGACACCTGAGATTTTGAGTGAGATTGAGAGGTTCTATGGGCAGCTGTACACGTCATCGTTGGAGCCACACGCAAGTGTGAGTAACGATCCAAGAGCGAGTCTCATCCGACACTATACCGAAGATATCCCGGACGTCAGTCTGAGCGAGATTAGAATGGCTCTCCAGCACCTTAAAAACGGTAAGGCCCCAGGCGAGGATGGAATTACAGCGGAGCTTCTGAAAGCGGGTGGAAGACCGGTACTTGAAGTCCTTCAGAAGCTCTTTAATTCCGTCCTCCATGGTGGCATTACACCGGAGGCGTGGAGCAGAAGTGCAGTGGTCTTGTACTTCAAGAAAGGTGACAACGCTCTCTTGAAGAACTACAGACCGATTTCCCTTCTGAGCCGCGTCTACGTGCTGTTTTCGAGAGTCATTACGAATCGTCTCGCGCGCAGACTTGAGGACTTCCAGCCTCCCGAACAAGCCGGTTTCCGAAAGAGCTTTAGCACAATAGACCACATACATACACTTCGGCAAATTGTACAGAAGTCCGAAGAGTACAATTTGCCACTATGTCTGGCGTATGTGGACTATGAGAAAGCCTTTGATTCCGTCGAAATTTGGGCGGTGCTGCAGTCCCTTCAGCGGTGCCAAGTTGACTGTCGGTATATCGAAGTGTTGAAGTGCTTGTACAGTAGGGCTACGATGGCTATCCGAATACAGAATCAGAGTACGAAACCTATCCAATTACAGAGAGGTATAAGACAGGGTGACGTCATATCCCCGAAACTCTTCACCGCTGCATTGGAAGACGTTTTCAAGCTTCTGGACTGGAAAGGATACGGTATCAACATCAATGGCGAGTACATCACTCACCTTCGATTTGCCGACGATATAGTCCTTATGGCAGAATCGCTGGAGGACCTAAGCACTATGCTCAATAACCTCGATAGTGTTTCCCGACGGATAGGTCTTAAGATGAACATGGACAAAACAAAGATCATGTTCAATGTCCATGTCACACCTATGCCGGTAGTTGTTGGCGCAGCACTAAGCTCGAAGTTGTTGACGAGTATGTTTACCTGGGACAAATAGTCCAACTAGGTAAGTCCAACTTCGACCGAGAGGTCAATCGACGGATTCAACTCGGCTGGGCAGCGTTCGGGAAGCTACGACACATCTTCTCGTCAGACATACCTCAAAACCTGAAAACGAAATTGTACAACCAGTGCGTGTTGCCAGTGATGACTTACGGAACTGAGACGTGGTCCTTCACTGCTGGCCGTATGAGGAAGCTCAAGGTCGCTCAGCGAGCTATGGAGAGGGCTATGCTCGGAGTTTCTCTGCGTGATAAACTTAGGAATG